TATTTAGCAAAACAAAATGGCACAATTTACAAAAACACTGAAATGTGTGCCAACAAAAAAACCTCTGGTCGACGGCAGCTTGTTTGGTTTTCTGATTCAATAACGGGCAGTGACGACGTGCTGAGACCACGGAGCAGACGTCCCCTTTAATACTGACAACTTGTAAGTAGAAAAGTGCAATAACCTCAGAAGATTGATTCCCTGGATGCTGAGTTAGAAACATGCCGTTAATGAGACGAGTGCATGGAGATACAGAGAAATAAAAGGAAGGAGAAGAGAGGTGAAAGTCGCCTGAAAATCTAAGCATGTAGCAGCAACACTAGGGCTGGTTCAAGGTTAGGGTTGGTTGGTAAGTTTGAACCAGCCCTAAGCTTTATCACAAGTCTAAGGCCTATAGCAGCATAACTAGGAGAGTCTCTAAGAACATAACTAAGTGCTGGTTCAAGGTGAGCCTGAACCAGCACTTAGTATAGGCTTTATCTAATAGGAAAGCGTATAGCAGCTTATATAGGGTCTGGTTCAAAGACAAACCTTAACCAGCCAACATAAGCTAAATCGAAGAGGAACATCTTAAGCATATTGCAGATCAATAAGGGCTGGTTCAAGGTGAGCCTGAACCAGCACTTAGTATAGGCTTTATCTAATAGGAAAGCGTATAGCAGCTTATATAGGGTCTGGTTCAAAGACAAACCTTAACCAGCCCTATATAAGCTAAATTGAAGAGGAACATCTTAAGTATATTGCAGATCAATAAGGGCTGGTTTAAGTTAAGCCTGGGCCAGCCGTAACTATGAGCTTTATCGCAAAGTCTAAGGCCTATAGCAGCAGCCTTATTCTTTAGAGAGGAGAGTCTTAAGCACCATAACTTGTCCAAGGTGAGTCCGAACCAGCGCTAACTAGCTTTATCTAATAGGAAAGCCTTAGCGTATAGCAGCACAACTAGGTGCTGGTTTAAGGTAAGTGTGAACCAGCCCTAACTAGAAGCTTACACTGAAAAGTCTTCTGACATGTGGGAAAGGTTTCAGCTTTCCAGACCAACACTGGGAGTTTGTTCCGTTTAAGAGGAGCTTGATATCTGAAGGAAAGGACTTGTGATAACTGAGATCTGATAAACCCAAGCAGAGCAGAAACTCAGAACCCAGCATGCATCACTGACAGCCCGTCACATAAACGTCCATTCATAGTCACAGCATCATGACATGGATCACAGCGCTCATTTAAAACACCATTCCCCTCGTGTCCAAATTATAAGTGGCGCTCGCTTTTTTTTGCCAGATTACATTAAGTTAACTCTTTCTGGGAAAAAGTATGGGTGAAAAACCGGAAAATCTTTGCTGCCATCATTAAAAAAGAAGCTTGACTCGTAACAAGAAGTGAGGATTTAATACAGCTTGTCGCACTCAATGACGCCACAAGGAGCAGGAGGAAAGTTAAAAAGACTTAAAGGCAGCGGACTGGCAGCTCCTTTAGTGGAAAGTAATGCACACACACACACACACACCACACAGACACACAGACACACACACACACACACACACACACACACACACACACACACAACACACACACGAGCCCGGGGTGTCTGACTTGCTTATTTTATCAGGTGCACCGCTAACCCCCCCCACCCCCCCCCCCCCCCCCCCTGCCTGCAAATCAGCTTCAGTTCTCTTCTCTCGCAGAATAAGCCTCATTATTATATTATGACAAAGAAAATGCCCATAAAGTCTATAATTATAACTCCACAGTGTTTTCTCCGTATTTAAACTGCCACTTTACGACACATTATTCTGTAATTGCACAAAATTGCGCGGATGATTTTGTGTTTTATCTGAAGAAGGGAATTTATTTTTGGAGTCAGAATTCAGACTTTTTACTTTCAGTCAGATCTCAATTTTTTTGGTTTTACATGTGTCGCTAATTCTCTTCCGTACTTGTCTGTGTACGTAAACACCTTTCGTTCTAATTTATTCTGTCACTTACATTTTTCAACATGTTTTATTTTTTTATTTCTTACGTATTTTTATTAATTTTGTTATTATTTTTCTTATTATTTTTCTTTATTATTTTCCTTGTTGAAGTCATATCTGTCCTATCCTGTGTTTCACCCCTTATTTCTGCTGCTGCTGCTAAGTCCCCTGAATGTCCCTTATCTTAAATATGTATAATATCTTTAATTGAAATAATGCTGCAAAATGAGGTAAAAAGGACAACATGTGCCGACAAAATGCAGTGAAGTGAAAGCATAAAGAAGCATAAATGGGAAATAGGTGAAGTAATACTTAGTTTAGGTGCGTGTGGTGGGCAGTGGGTTAGTGCGTTGGTGTTGGGATCAGGGGGGCACAGGTTTCAAACCCCACTGCAGTCAGCATGTCGTTGTGTCCCTGAGACACTTCACTCCAAGTTGCTCCTGTGGGGATTGTCCACAGTATTGAGTATGTAAGTCGCTTTGGATAAAAGCGTCTAACAAGTAACATGTAATGTAATTAATGAAGTTACTTGAGTAAAACTATCCTGCTATGGATCACATTTAAGACTTTACATTGTTCCTGATTTTCAGGGTTAGGGTCCTCTTTACACGGGCTTTGATGAGTTATGACATTTTGGATCCCTACAAGCAAACCCTAATAACTAAATAAATATGAACTGTATATATATTGGGTTTTCCAATCAGATAACAGCAGCAGTGTGTGTGTGCGTGTGCGGTGCGTGTGCGTGTGCGTGTGTGTGTGTGTGTGTGTGTGTGTGTGTGTGTGTGTGTGATGAATCTCATGTTTAACCACCGCACTGTTTAAGATTACCAGTGCAAAATATTAGACATTTGGTTTTAAAGGAAAACCTCAGAACAGATTCAATTAGATTTCTTTCTGAATGGAGAAAGGGGATGTGTGTGTGGTGTGATGTGTGTGTGTGTGTGTGTGTGTGTGTGTGTGTGTGTGTGTGTGTGTGTGTGTGTGTGTGTGTGTGTGTGTGTGTGGTGTGTGTGTGTGTGTGTGTGTGTGTGTGTGTGTGTGTGTGTGTGTGTGTGTGTGTGTGTGTGTGTGTGTGTGTGTGTGTGTGTGTGTGTGTGTGTGTGTGTGTGTGTGTGTGTGTGTGTGTGTGTGTGTGTGTGTGTGTGTGTGTGTGTGTGTGTTCCTCACAGCATCAGGTAACAATCTTGTATTTGTTTCAGCGCTCGCTGGGTGCCAGACTGAGAAGGAGCCGTCCAGCGGTAATCCATCTGAAGTCGCCTCAGTACCATAAATAAATACTTCCATGCTCCGAAACCCACGATTATTTAACGACTGTCATTCTGCAGAAATGAACATAAATGAGATAATCTAAATTAGAGACATGCGGGGGGGGAGTTTGGGTGAGTTATTCTGCGTGTGCCTGCAGGTACTATCACTTGTTTAGGTTTGGATGATTGTATGGGGATGCAATGTTACCTGATGCCAACCGTTTTTTATATCAACTTGTTATGTGTCTTTATTTTTCATTTTCTACATTTTAATTGGAAGAAATGACACTTTAAGATGTTGAAATGCTTTACTCACTCTGTAAGGAATTTAATTATACAATTTTTTTAAATTAATTTAGCTTTTTAAATATCAATCATACCAATATGTAAATGGAGAAATGAAACTACAATTAGAATATTTGATGTATTTTTTTGGAAGAAGATGTTGAAATGTATTCGACCCTTCACTCAGTCAGCAATAATAACATTTAAAGAAATAAATACATTGAATTGTTTTAACAGCTGAACATTTACACACCTGTATGTTAATGGGAATTTGAATAAAATAAAAATAAATGAATAATTTGTTTGGATTTCTCTGTTAAAAAAACAACTCCCTGCGACAAACTCTATTTTTTAAATTAGGAAAACACTGGTTTATGTTTTTTAATGTATTTTAAAGTAACAAATATAAATAAAATATGTAATATATGATTGCTGTTCCCTATTCAACATTATCTTAGTTATTATTTAATAATGAGAAAATCACCTGTTTATCTTAATTTATCGATTAAAAATGACTTTTTAAATGACAAGACTCAACAGAAACCCAAATACACTCAACGCATAATGATAATAACACCATATATATTACATATGATATTATATATAACCGGCTGCAGTGTGGGAACATTTGGAGGTTTTATGATCTGTATGAAGGAACAGATCTGAAATGTGTTGGACAGATTTCAGAGTGTGTGGCCCTGCAGAGGCAATTATAGGCATGTATATTTTCAACGTTATGCCATGAACACGACTCACACTCACACACACCACACACACACACACACACACACACACACACACACACACACACACACACACACACACACACACACACACACACACACACCAGCTGCCGTGCTCAAGGTTTTTTAGATGGAAATTATTATTATTATAAAAATGCCTTCAGATTTTACGCATTATTATAATGAAACAGCCTGACCTTGATTCTCGCCAACATGCTGCTTTCCCCCGTCACTTTTAAAACATATAATAAAATATTTTACTAGAAAATCTCTGCTTCCTTCAGTTTCAATGTATTAAATAACACATGGAGCAATTTGACGGTTGATAAGTACGCGAATGATCGTTAATAAATATACAAATACGGAGGAAAATGTGTGTTTTACGAGTGGATGCTTATCGTATTTCAAATATATTTGAAGCACTCTTTTATTTTATTATAAGGCCTCCGAGACCTGCATTCAACTTTAGTCGTCAAATTATGTTATTAACCCTTTTTTAATTAACATATTTGGATATTTATGCTTTCTTTGCTGCTCTTCTTATCGTTTAAGTCATTTTGTTTTACAGTCATTATTAAGAATATGCCTAGTTATGAAATAAGTGCAGAAACGGAGATAAACACGTGAGATATTAAAGCAGGTTTGGAGAAGTAAATAAATGACTCCATGGATCTGTACAAAATACAACTGAACTCGAGGATTAAATACTCACTTTTTATTTCATCCCATAAAAAAAGTCAAGAAAACTCGTCATTTAAATATTAAACAGAAAAAGAAGACAATAAAAAACGCCAAAATATTTGTGCCATAAAACGTAAAAAAGGAGAAAGAGTTTTTTGTGTTTATGTACAACATTCTTTGAAAGCAGATGTGGAGAAACTCTGCTCATAGTGTCTCTGTTACCTGAGAAAAGGCTCTGAGTCCTGTCAGCTGCTCACTTATGGTTGGCAGTGTGTAGCTTCTGATACTCCTGGTGCAAAGTGAGGAGGTGTGGAGAGGCAGCGGGGTGGAAGAGAGCAGGCGAGCCGAACATGGAGCTCAGAGGAGGGGAGAACCCGGCGCACTGAACCGGGGAAAAGGCTTCAAACCCGGGGTGAGTCTTTGAGAAGAAGCTGGAGAGCGCGGGCAGGATGCTGCTGACAGGCGGGATGGACACGGGGCTGCACGGGTGAGAGTGCGCGTGGTGATGGAGGTACGGGTAGATCTCCAGGCTGGGCAGCTGCAGAGCCGTAGCTCCAAACGCATAATGCGGGAATCCGTGCAGCGCGCCGTGCTCCAGCTGCTGCCCCTTCAGCGGGTCGAAGCGGAAATGTTGCCGCTTGAAGCGCTTCCTCCTCCGCAGGAAACTCCCGTTCTCAAACATGTCCGAGGAGTTCGGATCCAGGGTCCAGTAGTTGCCTTTTCCCGGGTTCCCTGGCTCTCTGGGCATCTTTATAAAGCAGTCGTTCAGAGACAGGTTGTGCCGGATGGAGTTCTGCCACGCGGGGAACTTCTCCTTGTAATACGGGAAGCGTTGGCTGATAAAGTCACAGATCTCGCTGAGGGTGAGCCTCTTCTTCGGGCTCTGCAGGATGGACATGGTGATCAGAGCGATGTAAGAGTACGGAGGCTTCACCGAGGCGGGACTCTTGCCTTTAGCGGGAGATGGACACTCGGGCTCGGGGCTGTACGCGTCCCGCTCTTTGGTCTCGGTGCTTCGTGACTCATCCGAAGGTTGGAGCTCTTCCTCTGCGCTGTCTTTGAGTCCTTCCCCCACTACGTCGATCACAATATCCTCCATGGTTTCCAAACCCAATGTCATAGTAGATGTCCGCGGGCGAAGCCACCTGCCAACAGGTGGAGGAGTGACAGCTTCTCCAAAACTTGATCAACACACTTTTACGCACGACTCATCTCCATTCACAACAAAAAAAAGATTCCGTGCACCTCCTCCTGCTCTTCAACAAGCATCCACAGTGTTCCGCTCTCCTAACCGCAGGCGATGATATCCTTTGTTTTGGGCACTTTTACGCGCAACAGAGCGGTCAGCGAGTGATTGTGCGTAAACGTGTAAAAGTGTGCGCGTCCTCCGAGGTGTCCAGCATCATCTGTAATCTGTGTTGCTTTCCTGTGGCTCGGGTGGAGGTGGATGTGATGTCACGGTGAGGCACAAGGAAAGGGATTCTGACCAATGAAAAAGACGCACAGGGTACCAAGAAGGCCTGAACCAGCCTCCATCGGCGGCACAGCGGTGCCAAATTGACGCGGACATTAAGAGATCCTTTCAGGGAAAACGTCCTCATGAGCAGGGAATCAGGAGAAGGCTATATTTAGACAGGAGTTCACATTTTGTTTTTAGGCTGTGGATTTCAAATCTGCTTTAAAAGTGGGACAAAAATGTTCAAAATTATAGAAAAATAATAAAAGAGCGATTGTTTTTTGTTACCATCGTTAATAAACTACAACATTATTTACTTATATAATTTATTATTATTATTATTATTATAAATAATCTAATTTTACCCAAAATATTACATTTTCAATAATATGTATTTATATGTTTCCTAAGAGTTGTTTCATCTGTAAAAAGCTTTTGGAAAATCACTTTTGTTTTACATTTACATCAAACCAAGGAGGGAAGAGCTGCACCTGAACGCACCACGCTGATGGAAAACGATAATACAACACCATAAATACACATTTTAATTTCCACACCAGATGATAGACACTTCGGATCACCCTGAGTTTACAGCCTGAGGGGGAAAATCCCCAAACGCTTCTCTACGTGAGGCAGGGATTTAAGCCTTAATCCAGGGAAGGCTCCTGCAGCCGCTCTTTACGCACACTTGACGCACAATTACATGTTTGTCAGACGAACAAACAGAGGATGAAAACTACAATGAGTGATTTACTGCTGCTGGGAAAATAATAATTTGTCGCCCGCATGCATGATCTTTGAATTGCACAGGAGTCTCACTGCGGGCTTTCGGTCCTCTAACACAATATCGATAAATACCACCATGTGTGAAAATGGAGAAGGAATAATATTTGAGTCTGGATAGAAACTCTCCATTTTCAAACCCCCGTGGATTATCTTCTTTAGTAATGGCAGCAGAGGGGTGATATCGGGATGAAAGTAATAGACTTTCACTCTTACATGAAAGCGCAGAGAGGAGAGGAGGGCGCTCTGGGTATTGTTGGGAGGCCTCTGGTTGTTTGTGTTTAATGATGGAGCCCTTTGTTGGGGATTCCCACATTTCCTGCCTCTAATCGTATTGATACCCCGGGGGCAGAGGGTCTGGGTCCGGACTGGGTGGGCTGTGCAGGACCGGCAAAGCTGCAGATGATTTCCCCAAATTCATCACGCATGTCCTCAGATTGGAAACAGGCCCGCGTGCGCGTTGTGTGGTTTCAATAAGGAGCAGGAGCGTCCAAATCTACCGAATAAAGATGAAGGTATGAGAGTCAAATCACAGGATGGAGAGCAACACAGAGGGGAAGAACTCAGACCTAGAAGTAATACTATATTGTAAAAATACTCTGTTACAAGTCAAAGTAGAACATAATTGGCATCAAAATGTCCTTAATACACCAAAAGAAAATATACTTTTTTTTACGTAAAAGCCAATTACAGAATGACTGGATTAATCACAGCTGGTAAAGGTGGAGCACATTTGAATGCATTCATATATACTGCTCCTGGATATCTCAACCTGTAATTATAAGTACTTGTTTATTTATTTTTTACTAGCCAATAATCTGAGTCTGTAAAACGCTGTTAGAAAAATGGAGTGGAGTAAAAAGTGCAAACCTGGCTCCTTAAATGCGGTGGAGAAGAAGAAGCATCAAGTAGCATAAACACTTGAGTAAATGTACTTACTTTCAACCGGCATTTGCAGATGAACCAAAGTGTCCTGCAGGGTCAATATCTTAGAGCCCCCCCCCCCCCCCCATCATAAGTCTGTGCAGCATTACAGTTGGGCTCTCGGAGAGGTGTAATGCAATAAATATGGAATCGTTCAAATCAATGAGGGGTTTTTCTCATCCATTATGAAAACAATAGCAGATCTGTTATCCAAAAACAAAGACCATTGTTTTCCAGTGAAAGTACATTTACTCATATTGAACTATTTGACATATTATTTCCATGCATCCATGCATGTGCTTCATGTCTACTAAAACCAACAATTGCATGTCATATCATTTGTTTGTTAAAGAGACAATTTGACGTTACAGATATCAAGTATTTGATGCAGTTCATATCATGTCAGCATATCATCAAGTAACTAAGAGGTTTAAATGAATGGTGTTAAAAGTACAATACTATCAAATGAAGTGGAGGAGACTAGCGGAATATGGACAATTGTGTATTTTGGTTGTTTTCCTATGTTTATAAACCGCATCAGAATTTATATAAAACTTATGAGAAAGGTCATTGCATTTTGAAAAATGTAAAGTATGGTATTACATTTTAAAAAAAGTAATATGTCAAAATATATTTTTAAATGAATTGCATAGTATTTTTTTTTAAACAATCCTAAACATTAGTGTATGTCGAAGATTTCATGACAAACATCACAATACAATATGTCAAAAATATTTAAGAAGTCAAGGTGTTGTATGTGGAAACATATTTAAAAACTCATAGTATAGTTTGACAAAAATAAATTAAAAGTCTGTATAAAGCAAAAATGTAAAAAGTCGAGGTAAAGTTTGATATTTGAACAATAACAGATCTGGTACCCAAAAACAGAGAGCATTGTGTATGTGTTGTACCGCAGATTACTAAGTAGGCGAGTAGTAACACTTCATTTATTTTATATATTGATATTTTGCAGGAAATAACCTTCTTTCTGCAGGTCTCTAACCATCAGACCAGATGTTTCCTTTTCTTAGAGAAACTCTTCCTGATCCAGAGACCAACGAGACGCAGTGTGTTTCTCATGAAGAGCCCCATCCATTACATTACATGTAACGAATATTCAGTATCCAGTACAACGACATGCTGACTGCAGTGGGACTCGAACTTGATAGACGCTGATTAGAAGTACAGCACTCTATCCACTGAGCCACAGCCGCCATCCATCTTTACACACACGCACACACACACACACACACACACACACACACACACACACACACACACACACACACACACACACACACACACACACACACACACACACACACACACACACATCTTTATTCACTTACAGAGCTGGCAGAACAGGGGAGAATATCACGAGTAATCTTAGGTATCAGGAATTATAACACACACACACCAATTGACATGCATATACGCATATATACACACACACACACACACACACACACACACACACACACACACACACACACAGAGAGACACTTGCACACTAATTTACAAACACAAAAAAGCACTCAAACACACACCATTAGAATCAGATGGACACATTCACACACACAGAAACACACACAACAATGGAAAAACACACAATACACAAACACACACACACACACACACACACACACACACACACACACACACACACACACACACACACAGCTGAGCTCAGTAACACATTATTTATTGATTGGCAGATCAACGGCTCCACAACAGAGGAAGTGACACAGGCTGTGTGTGTGTGTGTGTGTGTGTGTGTGTGTGTGTGTGTGTGTGTGTGTGTGTGTGTGCGTGTGTGTGTGTGCGTGTGTGTGTGTGTGTGTGTGTGGAAGCTTTCATGAGGACTGAGTCACACATCTGTATCTGAGTCCTCATCATCACTGTGACTGTGTGTGTGGCGCCACCTAGTGTTAGAAACGCCTCAGATATATCGTGTCAGTAAAAGGTATTCTACTGTGAACAAATATCGTATGTTGAAAATATAGAAAATAAATAAATTATAAGTAAACTATGAGGTAATAAATGATGACGTAAACAAGTAATAATATAGCATGTTGTATCTAATGGATCAGCCTCTGGTAGATGTTGGTTTAAGAGAATTAGAACAAGTTCCCTGATGTTTCCAGCAGAGGGAGCTCTTTCCCCAACAATAAGTACCGTCTGCTTCACCGGGTTCACGAGGGTCCAAATCACGGTGGATTATTGTATACAAGTCTAAAGTACTGACATACATGCTGATCTTTGGTCTGCTGACCTCAGTGAGAAAACCACTACGCTACACTATGCTAGAATGGCTGCAGGACCCATGGTAGAAATGATATGCTCACAACAGGTGCAATCAAGCATGAGGACGTACTTTCAAAATAGCAAGAATACCGCAGGTTCATTATGTACTTACTTACAATCCACCATGTACCCCTTGCACTTTTATTCTGAGACAGGAATGATTTAATGTATGTCATATTTTTTAAATGCTAGTTGTAATTATATGTGTGTTTGCTCTGGACAGTCTTTTGCACTAACTACTGCAATATGTTCATCATTAAGTGACTGTTATTTTGTAATGTGTTGACTGTTGTGCCTTTATTTATGCCTGTGTGCATATACATGTGTCTACGTTGATTATGTGTATACATATATATACTGTATATAAGTGGTTCTTCTTTGTATATTTGTATTTTTAATCCTCAGGATTGTGGGAAACAGTGTTTCGATCTCTCTGACTGTACACACAAAATGAAAGATTGACAATAAAGTTGACTTGTTTGTTTGTATAGTCTCTTAATGTTTAGGTGTGGAGAGCTGAGCGTAACATATTCATTGTATAAATGCCTGTTATCCTGTTCATATGATGTCTGCAGGGTGTGTGTGTGTGTGTGTGTGTGTGTGTGTGTGTGTGTGTGTGTGTGTGTGTGTGTGTGTGTGTGTGTGTGTGTGTGTGTGTGTGTGTGTGTGTGTGTGTGTGTGTGTGTGTGTGTCCGAGCTGCTGTCAGAGGTCTGAGGGTGGAGGAGGAGGTGTGTTTAAGCTCATGTTGAGTGACAGTCGGTGGTTAGAAGCTGGCTGGAGGTCAGTGGGACCCAGAGAGTGAGTCATGATGCAGGGAGATAGACTGCTGCAGAATGTATGCATGACACGTTCATATTTAATTAGTTTATACTTTGATTTCTCTTTTTCTATTAAGTTTGAGTTAGTTAG